TTTTTTTTTTTTTTTTTTTCTGAGACAGAGTCTTGCTCTGTCCCCCAGGCTGGAGTGCAGTGGTGCAATCTCTGCTTACAGCAAGCTCTGCCTCCCAGGTTCAGGCCATTCTGCTGCCTCAGCCTCCTGAGTAGTTGGGATTACAGGCGCCTACCATCACACCCAGATAATTTTTGTATTTTGGGTAGAGATGGGTTTCACCATGTTGGCCAGGTTGGTCTCAAACTCCTGACCGCAAGTGATCTGCCTCGGCCTCCCAAAGTGCTGGGATTACAGGCGTGAGCTACCACACCCAGCCTAGGGTGATTTTCAAGTGTCTGTTTTTTTGTTGTTTTGTTTTGAGATCGTCTCACTTGGTCACCCAGTCTGGAGTGCAGTGGCGCGATCATGGCTAACTGTATCTTCAACGTCCCAGGCTCAGGTGATCCTCCCACCTCATCCTGCAGAGCAGCTGGGACCACAGAGGCTTGCCACCATGCTCAGCTAATTTTTTTTTTTTTTTTTTTTTTGAGAGACTGGATACACCATGTTGCCCAGGCTGGTCTTGAATGCCCGGACTCAAGTGCTCCACCTGCCTTAGCCTCCCAAAGTGCTGAGATTACAAGCCTTAGCCACGTGGCCCTGCCTCAGGTTTCTGATTTTAGCAGTTTCTGATTTTAATAACTGGAGGATAGTGGTATCATTTACCGAGATGGAAGAGACTGAGCAAGGAAAGGTTTGGAGGCAGGAATCAAGAATTTTATTTTGAATTTGTTAAAATTTAGGATGACTATGAGCCATTCAAGTGAATATCTGAGTCCAGGGTTCAGCAGAGAAGTCTGATCTTGAGGTAAAAATTTGAGACTTGGATCAGCTTATAGTCCACTCATTCAGCAAATACTTACTGACCACCTATTGTCTGCTAAATATTGGGCTATGCACTGGGGTCATTGTGGTGAACAAGAGTGTTGTAGTTCCTGCTTTTATGGAGACTGACCACAGAATTAAAATAAAATAATATGAATGGCTTCTATTCATTGAGCATTTTCTTTGTGCTGGCCACTGCGCTCAGTGCCTTACATGCACTTTCTCATCCTCTCAACAACCCTGGGAGGCCCATTTTATTTTCCAGACAATGATGTCACATAGTGTATTAAACCAGATAACTAGTAAGAGGAGGTGCCCAGATTTGAACCCAGGCAGTCTGTGGGAACTTAGAGATCAAGACTAACTTTACCTCACAGTGCCTGTGGTAAAACTGAAATCCCACACAGCTTGTCATCAGTTCTCCCTGTTCCCAAGCTCAGTGTTCTGTGCACTTGGTTAGATGACCTCTTAGTCTAGAACCCTCTGCTAAGAGACATCAGTCACCAGGCTGTACCGCCCTGCCTGATATGTGGCTGGAGGCTCAGCTGGTAACCTGTCCCTGTCCTCCATATCCCTAGGATTGTGCACCTGTGCCTGCGAAAGGCTGACCAGAAGCTGGTGATCATCAAGCAGATTCCAGTGGAACAGATGACCAAGGAAGAGCGGCAGGCAGCCCAGAATGAGTGCCAGGTCCTCAAGCTGCTCAACCACCCCAATGTCATTGAGTACTATGAGAACTTCCTGGAAGACAAAGCCCTCATGATCGCCATGGAATATGCACCAGGTGGGCCAGCCTCCTTATGGTGACCTGGCTGGAGGGGCCTCTTATCTCTGGGACAGGCAGACATAGATCACCTGGCTTCCCTCCTTGGAATGAGCATGGCCAAGGGTTAGAGTTCCGGTCCCAGTTATCTGACCCTGGCTAGCCCCTTCTCCTCTCTGTTCCCAGTGCCCTGTTCCATACCTAAAAGGAGGCCCATTGGCTCACGCCTATAATCCCAACACTTTGGGAGGCCAAGGCAGGTGGATCATGAGGTCAGGAGATCGAGACCATCCTGGCTAACACGGGGAAACCCCATCTCTACTAAAAATACAAAAAAAAAAAAAAAAAAAATTAGCCTGGCTTGGTGGCAGGCGCCTGTAGTCCCAGCTACTTGGGAGGCTGAGGCAGGAGAATGGCTTGAACCTGGGAGGCGGAGCTTGCAGCAGTGAGCCGAGATCGCACCGGCACTCCAGCCTGGGTAACAGAGTGCAGCGGCACTCCAGCCTGGGTAACAGAGCGAGACTCCGTCTCAAAAAAAAAAAAAGGAGAACGGTTGTCGTGGTGTGAGAAAGCCTGGATCTTGATTAGTCCTTTGGGCCACAGGCGGCACTCTGGCTGAGTTCATCCAAAAGCGCTGCAATTCCCTGCTGGAGGAGGAGACCATCCTGCACTTCTTCGTGCAGATCCTGCTTGCACTGCATCATGTGCACACCCACTTCATCCTGCACCGAGACCTCAAGACCCAGAACATCCTTCTTGACAAACACCGCATGGTCGTGAAGATCGGTGATTTCGGCATCTCCAAGATCCTTAGCAGCAAGAGCAAGGCCTACACGGTGCCTGGGCATGGAGGGGACCTCCAGGGTGCTAGAAGTCTTGAGGGCCAGGACCTAACCCTGCCTCCTCCTCTCCTGCTAAAACACCCTTGGCCCTTTGGCTCGTTTGGGTGGTCCTGCAGGAGGAAGCCCCTTGGCTTGCTTTGAGAAGAAGCTGTCCCCAAATGGCCTTATGTGCAGAGACCCTGGTCTTCCCTCCCTGCAGGGCTGTGATCCCAGCTTCTCTCCTGCAGGTGGTGGGTACCCCATGCTATATCTCCCCTGAGCTGTGTGAGGGCAAGCCCTACAACCAGAAGAGTGACATCTGGGCCCTGGGCTGTGTCCTCTATGAGCTGGCCAGCCTCAAGAGGGCTTTTGAGGCTGCGGTGAGTGTACGCACCCTCCAGGGGACAACTGGGAAATGTACTGCCTGCCCCAGCAGGCCTCAGCTCCAGCCACCTCAGGTTTCTCCTCTAGCTGAGTCATGTCTCTCCCTTATCAGATTACCCCAGGGGAGGGCTATGGGTGTCCCTCAGACTATGGATTTCTGAGAGTACATCTTGCCTCCCATTAGACTGAGGGCTCCTGAGGGCAGGACTGTGGCTTTCCCAGGAGACCCTTCCAAGAGCAAGACTTGAGTTTTCCCAGCATCCTGGGGTTTCTGAGGACATAGCTGCAGCTCCCCTATCAGACTAGGGATCACTGAAAGCCAGGTTGGACTCCCCTATCAGTCTGGGAGTCCCCTCATCAGACTGAAGTCTCTTGAGGGCAAAGCTGTTATTATCCCAGGAGACCAGGGGCTGGAGCTGGGGGGTGCTGCCCTCACTTCCCCAACTTCCCAACCTGGTGCCTTCACAGAACCTACCAGCACTGGTGCTGAAGATCATGAGTGGCACCTTTGCGCCCATCTCTGACCGGTACAGCCCTGAGCTGCGCCAGCTGGTCCTGAGTCTACTCAGCCTGGAGCCTGCCCAGCGGCCACCACTCAGCCACATCATGGCACAGCCCCTCTGCATCCGTGCCCTCCTCAACCTCCACACCGACGTGGGCAGTGTCCGCATGCGGAGGCCTGTGCAGGGAGAGGGAGCAGTCCTGGGTGGCAGGGTGTGGGCACCCAGTGGGAGCACAGGAGGTGTCGGGCAGAGGGAAACCTGGGGCAAGTCCTCCCTTCCTGCATGTAGGAATGTCAGGAGGGTCTGTGTCCTTAGGCCCCCATCTGTCCTACAGGGCAGAGAAGTCCGTGGCCCCCAGCAGCACAGGGAGTAGGACCACCAGTGTCCGCTGCAGAGGTAAGTGGGAAGAGGCCGCCAGTCCCCATGGACGCCACACCATTCCTATCAGTTTAACAGTTCCCATGTGCTGTACCTGCAGGTATCTCCCGGGGACCTGTGAGGCCGGCCATCCCACCACCCCTGTCATCAGTATATGCCTGGGGTGGTGGGCTGGGCACTCCCCTGCGACTGCCAATGCTCAACACGGAGGTGATCCAGGTAGCAGCTGGGCGCACACAGAAAGCCGGCGTCACGCGCTCTGGGCGTCTCATCCTGTGGGAGGTGAGCAGGCCAGTGGGTGGCCTGGACGTGTGGAGGTATAGATCCACAGCAGGGTTAGGGTGCTCAGGCGCTGCCCATCCACCTGCCCCTGCAGGCCCCACCCCTAGGTGCAGGCGGAGGCACCCTCCTCCCTGGGGCAGTGGAGCAGCCACAGCCCCAGTTCATCTCGCGTTTCCTGGAGGGCCAGTCGGGCGTGACCATCAAGCACGTGGCCTGTGGGGACTTCTTCACTGCCTGCCTGACTGGTGAGCTGTCGGGCCTACCTTGTGGGACCTGCTCTAAGGCCCCACAGAGCACCTTCTCTCTTCTCTTGCAAACCACGCACTTAATGAATGCTTCTGTCTACTAGTTATGGAGTTATTGCTTCTGGCAAGTAACTATTGAGGAGATTTCCTTACACAACCTCCTTTACCCTACGGACGGGCCTGGCAAGGCAGTCATTATATTATCCTCATTTGACAAGTGGGGACGCTAAGGCTCAGAGAGGGTGTCACTTGTCCAAAGTCACATACGTTTGAAGAGACTCGTAACCTTTTCTCTTCGTATCCCGTCCTTTCAGCCCTGGTCCCCAACTTTATTTTGCTGCTGCAACCCACTAGAGGACCAGGCTATCTGGAAAGACTATTTAACTTCTCTCCCTTCTCCTTCCTCACTGCCCTTCTCTCCAGACCGAGGCATCATCATGACGTTTGGCAGCGGCAGCAATGGGTGCCTAGGCCATGGCAGCCTCACTGACATCAGCCAGGTGGGTGTCACATGTACTTTGGAGAGGGGGAAGTGGGGAGATGGCGGGGAGCCCACATCTGAGAGCTGACACCAGATTGGGGGCAGGGGAGTTCCCAGCAGCCACAGGTTCCTCTAGATTCCCAGATGCACCTCCCCTGGGCCACCTACATCGGGGGAAGTACAGAAAAACCAGGCTTCCCCAATGGTTGTCCACCTGGCAGTGTGTATGGCTGGAGTTAAAGACATAGCCACCTCCTGAGAATGTGTATCCTCCAGCTTTGTCCCTACCGGGGGTGTTGAGGCCAGATGGCTAGTCCCAGACCCTTTGCCCAGTTTCTCCTTGCTTCCTCTCCTCTCTAGCCCACCATTGTGGAGGCTTTGCTGGGCTATGAGATGGTGCAGGTGGCCTGTGGGGCTTCTCACGTGCTGGCCCTGTCCACTGAGCGAGAACTATTTGCTTGGGGCCGTGGAGACGGTGGTAAGCTCCAGCCTCTAGGCCCCATCTCACAGCATCCTCAGCCATGACTTGCTCCCCTTCATACCCACCTTCCACCCCACAGCACATTCTCTCCTCCCTCTTTTCTCTCAAATTCTCTTCATTCATTCAACAAACCTTTATTTTACACCAACTGTGCACATGCTGTGCTGGGTGCTGAGATGAGATGGAGATGTGGCTTCCTTCAGGTGTTTGAGGTAATGAAGGAAATTTCATTCAACCACCTATTTTTTTATTTTGAGACGGAGTCTCGCTCTGTTACCCAGACTAGAGTGCAATAGCGTGATCTCAGCTCACTGCAACCTCCACCACCAGGTTTAAGCAAATCTTCTGCCTCAGCCTCACGAGTAGCTGGGATTACAGGCACCCACCACCGCACCCAGCGAAATGTTGTATTTTTGTAGAGACAGGGTTTCACCATCTTGGCCAGGCTGGTCTCGAACTCCTGACCTCATGATCCACGTGCCTCAGCCTCCCAAAGTGCTGAGATTACAGGCGTGAGCCACCACGCCTGGCTCATCCACCAGTTTTTATTGAGGTCCTCTTTGGGTCAGGCATCAGGCTGGGCGTTGAAACTAGAGATGACACTGATGGGTTCCTGTCTTCCTGGAGGACTCAGTCTAGTAGGAGAAAGATGACATTGCCAGCATGCCCGAGAACAGATAGCATCAGGGCTACACCCCAGTGCAGAGGTGTGGAACTCAGTGAACAATAATGTCAACTGGAGGAGAGAGATGGCATCTGAACAGGGCTTTATAAGAAGGAGGATTTTGAGTCGGCGCGGTGGTTCACACATGTAATCCCAGCACTTTGGGAGGCTGAGGCAGGTGGATCACGAGGTCAGGAGTTTGAGACCAGCCTGGCCAACATGGTGAAACCCTGTCTCTACTAAAAATTAAAAAATTAGCTGGGCGTGGTGGCTCATGCCTGTAATCCCAGCTACTCAGGAGGCTGAGGCAGGAGAATCGCTTGAACCCGGGAGGTGGAGGTTGCAGTGAGCCACGATCGTACCATTGCATTCCAGCCTTGGCGACAGAGTGAGACTCGGTCTCAAAAAATAAAAAATAAATAAAGGAGGATTTTAACCAGCAGAGGGGCCTAGGAAAGGCATTTGGGACTGAAAGAACAGAGAACTCATGCTGTTCCCTCCCCTCAGTGGGCCCTCCTCATCCTGGCGTCACCCCCACTAAAGCTCAAATTAACTCCTTCTGGGTTTCTTCTCGTAGGCAGACTGGGACTAGGCACCAGGGAGTCCCACAGCTGCCCCCAGCAGGTGCCCATGCCCCCAGGACAGGAAGCTCAGCGAGTTGTATGTGGCATTGACTCTTCCATGATCCTCACTGTGCCTGGCCAAGCCCTGGCCTGTGGGAGCAACAGGTGAATAGGTCATCAGGGTGACTAACCTGCCTCCGGCTCTCCTTGGCTGTGAGTGCTCCATCCATCATTGCCTACCTCTCATCAAAGACCAGAATTGAGGGGGTTGAGGGTGCTATTGGTTCAACCTAGGGTGGGATCTGTCTCCTGGTGCACCAGCTCCTGCCCAAACTGTCTGTCAGTTGGATTTGGCTTCTGGCTCTGCCCTCAGGTTCAACAAGTTGGGCCTGGACCACCTCTCCCTGGGGGAGGAGCCTGTCCCTCACCAGCAGATGGAGGAGGCCCTGAGCTTCACACTACTAGGCTCTGCACCCCTGGACCAGGAGCCCCTGCTGAGTGTAGACCTGGGCACTGCTCACTCAGCTGCTGTGACTGGTGAGCAGGACTTGGGCTCTGGAGGCCAGAGGGGGACTCATGGTCTCCTTGGTACCCTGTTGAAGCACCCCTTTTCTTCCTCTCCCCCATAGCCTCAGGTGATTGCTACACTTTTGGCAGCAATCAGCACGGGCAGTTGGGCACCAATGCTCGCCGAGGCAATCGGGCACCCTGTAAGGTCCAAGGCCTTGAGGGCATCAAGATGGCAATGGTAGCCTGTGGGGATGCCTTCACCGTAGCTATTGGGGCAGGTGAGGACTGAGCATGGCGGGGGCAGGCAGTGCCATGAGCAGTGTGGGCTGAGGGTTGCTGCTGAGGGCCACTGGACTCTGGAGCCTCCCAGGGGCCATCCTGGCAATGTGGGAGGGGAGATTCTGCTCAGGCTGTGCCCACTTCCCACTTCCCTCCTGGGGATTCTTCCTGGCAGAGGGTGAAGTGTACTCCTGGGGCAAAGGGGCCCGAGGTCGACTGGGAAGGAGGGATGAGGATGCCGGACTCCCTCGGCCAGTGCAGTTGGATGAGACACACCCTTACACAGTGACTTCCGTGTCCTGTTGCCATGGAAACACCCTCCTGGCTGTTCGCCGTGAGTTTTAACTTTTCCCACCTCACCACACAACCCAGCTGACCCCTGCCCACACTCCCACCCCCCGTGTTCACAGATGCCCGCATCACCAAAAGCATCTTTAGCCCTCAGATAAAAATAGCTGAAGCTGCGGTTAAAAAGCTCAAAGTTTCCTGTCCCGGGTGGCCAAGGCGGGTGCTTCTTGGGCCTCATGGAAGGGCTGCTTCCACTGCTCCCCAGGGGACTCACATGCATTCTTTCTCCTACTGCTGAGTCCCGTTGATGCTGAACCTCTCTTTCTGGCCTAACAGGGTCCAGAATCCAGGGCCCAGTAGGAGTGGGAGGTGGGTGATAATTGCTGGAGGCACTGCCCTCAGAAGCTGCAAGGGTTTCTCTTTGATACCCTCCAGCAGTCACAGATGAGCCGGTCCCCCCCTGAGGCACCTGGATACACCTCTGGACCACCCTGATACTGCTTCTCCTCTGAATGTTCTGAAAAGTGCAGGTGCCCAAGGCATGACTGTTGCAGCCGTCTCCTAGATTGGGTCATCATGGGGTATCCGGGCTGGCAAAACCCCTGCTCTGCTTTTGGCCTTGGATATGGAAACCTCAACCACTTTGTTCTCCCACCACCTCTTTGCCTTTCCTACCCCTTCCTCCCTTCAGTCAGTGTCCCCAGGATCCAGCCTGGCTACAGTTAGAAGGCAGACCTAGCCTTTGGAAGCAGAGCCTTGCCATAAAAAGGCTGAAGGCAGCTGTAGCTCCACACAGACCGTGCCCTTTCCCCCAGCCCAGTTAGAAAATAAGTCTGGGCCGGGGGTAGTGGCTCACACCTGCATACCCAGTGCTTTGGGAGGTCAAGCCAGGAGGATCCCTTGTGGCCAGGAGTTGTAGACCAGCCTGGGGACCATAGCGAGACCGCTGTCTCCACCAAAAAAAAAAAAAAAAGAGAAGAAGAAAATAAGGCTGGGTGCGGTGGCTCACCTGTAATTCCAGCACTTTGGGAGGCCAAGGCGGGCGGATCACTTGAGGTCAGTAGTTTGAGACCAGCCTGGCCAACATGGTGAACCCTGTCTCTACTAAAAATACAAAAATTAACCAGGCATGGTGGCAGGCGCCTGTAATCCCAGCTACTCTGGAGGCTAAGGCAGGAGAATCCCTTGAACCCTGGAGGCGAAGGTTGCAGTGAGCCGAGATCCTACCACTGCACTCCAGCCTGGATGACAGAGCAAGACTCCCTCTCAAAAAAAAAGGAAAAAAAAATGTCTTTGGTGCTCACTGGGACTGTCTCCATGCTTTGGAGCAGGGCAAGCCAGGGCCTGCCTGGACTGACCATTAGGCCTGCCTAGCTTCTGCATAGCCTGGGGCAGGGCAGTCCCCGGGAGTGCTGCCATCTCCCCCACACTTTCATCCTAAGGCAGGATTTGCTGGACGTCTGCTTGCCTCTTTTCCCCAGCACGAGGACAGGAGCCACTACGTGTCTGCTGCAGAAAAGATCCGCGCTGCAGATTGTCCGTCACCCCATGCCTTTCTCCAGAAACACTTGAGAGAAAGGGTAGCTAGTGGGACCAGACTGGTTTCTCAGAGCACAGGAAGTAAAGCCAATAAAAATATCAGCTGCCTGCTGGAGTGTGGTGTCTTCAGGGGTGGGTGTGGCGACCAGGCACCCCAGGACTGGGCTGGGCGCGACCTCGGTGGCAGGGCTGCGGCCAAGGGAGGAATGTGGGCGCAGCCGGCGGCTGGGGTCGAAGTTTCTCTGGCCCAGCGCCCAGTCCAGCCTCCCCGCCCCAGCTGGGCTCCCCGGAGCTGGTTGCCAGGCTTTGGCTGCCTAGCACCTGGAAGCTGGGGCCCCGGTTCCTGGGCGGCTCACGGCCCCGGAGGCCGAGCTGTTGCCTCTAGAAAAGAAAACCTTTGTAGCGCGGCCCGTCCCCTTTTCCAACCCGCACTCCCCCAGGGCCCGAGAAGTGGATACACGCTCTCTCTCCCCCAGGGGAAAGAAAAGCCCATGCTCCGGTGGGTGGGCGAGACTGGCGGTGACCAGACCCAAAGGCCTGCACTCGGAGGTGGGCGGGGCCGCTGGGCGCGCATTAGGACCG